AACAACCGGGACGGACCAAGTCACCATCCCCAACGGTGCTCTACCCCACGCTCATACCTGGCGTGCAAGTCACCACAATACAGCACTATGATGTGCAAATCCGGGGTTTCAAACCCTCAGGATATCATTTACAAGTATTACTCACCTCGAACCGGTGAAATCTCTGGCTCGCGACGCCTTTGCCCTTCAAATTGATCTCCACGTGCGTCAAATCTATCAAAATCACACAAACATCGATGAAGCTCGATTTCTAAAAGACGGGGTTTTAGCCATACATATCTGAAATTCACAACTTAAATGATACTACAATGATCCAATATAGTTATGTGACTTCAATCTACAATACAACATTCAATAGGGCCAATATTAGTAATAAATTCCATAACTTATGCCATTTAGGCATATTATCAAACAGCTTGTAGGCATAGATATTTACACCTCATAACTATAGTATTGGTTCCTCCAACTATCACCATTAACCAACAATTCATCTCATCATCATTCCTAACCAATTTATAACTTCCAACTACACATGTATGACCATCCATTCACACCCAACCAACAAATCCTATCAAATATCCACCTTTCAATCTCTATAATAACTATGTATTTATATTGCGAATCTATGACTTCCAATCACCATAACATAAGTTGTAATACTTGATTCATACTCATATTCCCATAATATATCCATATATGTAAGTTTGAGGCGTAGGATTTACCTTTTGGAAGAAATCTTGCAAAACCCTCCTTTGAGTTCTTGAAGAAATTTTTTGAAAATCTAAGTATTTTTATGAGAGGATTTCATCAATAATAGTATATGAATGATGGAATTTCACACCAAGATAATGGAACTGCTTACCTTGAAGATTGGGGGAGTTGAAGGTCTCGAGAGGGTGGAAGAAAACCTCAAAGTTCGTCCAAAATAAATGGGTAAGAATGAACCCCGAAATGAGTATTATAGGCTGTTTCGGGCGCTGCCTGTGGCGCTGGATCCACTAGCTCAAAATTTTGGGCGCCACGGCTAGCGCCCGGCGCTACACAAGGCGCTGACGACACGAAAATGGCCACAACTTTCTATATACACCTCCAAATGATGAACGGTTTGTTGCGTTGGAAACTAGACTCAAAGAGCTTTAATTTGATAGGTGGTGCATCACCCAACTCCTTATATAACTGGAGATATGATCGTTTAAAGTGAGGTCTTGTGCGCACTCATTTACAACTTTCGTCTATCATGAAATTTTCCAACTTCAAAAGTTCCCGTTAATCATCCGAAATCACCCCGAGGCCCCCCGGGACCTCAACCGAAAGCACTAACATATCTTATAACGTTATTCAAACTTGTTCCAATTATCAAAACACCACAATTAACACCTAAACCATCAAATTACACCAAATTCAAGCCTAAGTTCATCCAAATCTTCCGAGACACGCATTCGATCAAAAACCCAACCAAAACACCTCCGAATGATCTGAAATTTTGCACACACATCCAAAATCTCCTAACGAAGCTACAAAAATTGTCGGAATTCAATTCTGTCCCTCGGATCAAAATCTCACCTATCAACCGGAATTTTGCCAAAATACTAACTTCGCCAAATCAAGCCTATTTCTACATGGGACCTCCAAAATAAATTTCGATCACACTCCTAAGTCACAAATCACCTTCCGGAGCTAACCCAACCACCGTAATTCACATCCGAGCCCTCTAACTCATAAGTCAACTTCCGGTTGACTTTTCTAACTTAAGCCTTCTTAAAAGAGACTAAGTGTCCCATTTCTTATCAAAACCACTCCAAACCAACTCGATCACATAAGATACGGATAATGAAGCCTAAAGAAGTTGGAAATGGGAAAAACGGAGTGTAACTTATGAGACGACGGGTCGGGTTGTCACAGTGGACTATTCACAGATAAAGCCAAAGACTTCTCAAAATTGTGAACACGGTTTTAATGAGAACAATTCTACACCAAGTGTGAACATCTGCTGACGAAATTATATGTGTAATTTCTTTCCAGAAACCAAATCTGTCTTTATTTGTTATACTCCATTTATTTTTAATAATGAAAAGTACAAAAATGGTTGTGTTTTTGGGTTTTTGTTGTTGGCCAGTTCATGTTCTAGGTGTGCATATATTTCAAACCATGCAACCTAATTTTGTTTGAATAAAACCACTCCATTCACAAAAAAAAACCAAACAAAAAACTATTATAAACACCTCTTTTTTTTTGGCATTCAATTTCAACAACTATTACTCTTCCATCTTCCCAACTAAATGCTATTCTTATCCTAACTATGGAACTCAAACGTCTTTGCTTTGTTTTGCCTGCAGATACTGATGAAATTGACAAAATTGATCAAAAACAACAAGTTGTAGACAAACCAAAGAAAAAAAATGAATCTTTCTCTAAAAGAAGTTGTGGGGGTCGAGTTCTTGATTTTTTTCAAGAATCTTTGTCGAAATTAGCTGATTCCAAATGGACAACTTGTTGTCATCAAGATTTTGAAAAAAAACAATTTTCTGGTGTTTTTCATGATACAGAAGGTATGCAGCTAGGTGAAAAAGGTGGTGGTGATTATAACCATAATCATAATCATAATCCAAGGATTTTCAGCTATTCTGAGCTGTTTATAGGATCCAATGGATTTAGTGAAGATGAAGTTTTAGGTAGTGGTGGATTTGGGAAGGTTTTTAGAGCTGTTTTACCTAGTGATGGAACAGTTGTTGCTGTGAAATGTTTAGCTGAAAAAGGTGAGAAATTTGAGAAAACATTTGCTGCTGAATTAGTAGCCGTTGCTCATCTTCGCCATCGGAATCTTGTGAGGCTAAGAGGATGGTGTGTATATGATGATCAACTGTTTCTTGTGTATGATTATATGCCTAATAGAAGCCTTGATCGGATTTTGTTCCGAAAACAGGATAATACAGGGTCCCCTGTTCTTGATTTTGAACGTCGAAAAAAGATTGTTAATGGTTTAGCAGCTGCATTGTTTTATCTCCATGAACAATTGGAGACTCAAATCATTCATAGAGATGTTAAGACAAGTAATGTGATGCTTGATTCCCATTTCAACGCGCGTCTTGGCGATTTTGGCTTAGCTAGGTGGCTCGAGCATGAACTCGAGTATCAAACGAGGACGCCTTCTATGAAAAACCAGCAGTTTAGATTGGCTGAGACAACAAGAATTGGTGGAACTATAGGGTACTTACCTCCTGAAAGTTTTCAGAAAAAAGGTTTTGCTACTGCAAAATCTGATGTTTTTAGCTTTGGGATTGTTGTTCTTGAGATTGTTTCGGGTAGGCGCGCTGTCGATCTCGCGTCCCCGGATGATCAAATCATTCTTCTTGATTATATCAGGAGACTATCTGATGAAAAAATGGCTTTACAAGCTGGAGATAGTAGACTTATTGATGGTTCTTATAAGCTTTCTGATATGGAGAGACTAATACATATTGGTCTTCTTTGTACATTACAAGAACCTCAATCAAGGCCTAATATGAAGTGGATTGTTGAAGCTCTTTCTGGTCATATTTATGGTAAATTGCCTGATCTTCCTTGTTTTAAGTCACATCCTCTTTATATCTCATTGTCATCTCCAAGTAATAGTACAACTAGCAACACAATCACTACAAGGTCTACTGCTACAACCAGTAGCAGCACGACGCCCGGTTTCAACTCCACTGTCTTCATTACAGCTACAGGAGAAACTATGTATCTAAGTGCTGAGAGTGGAAGCAGTCAAAATGAGTCTGGAAATAGTAGCAGCAGACGCCAATCGAGTAACTTCTTGATGGTTGAAACTCCAAGGGAGATCGCATTTAAGGAAATTGTGGCTGCGACGAATAACTTTTCGGATTCAAGAAGAGTTGCTGAGATTGATTTTGGAACTGCTTACCATGGTTTTCTTGACAACAACCAGCATATCCTAGTGAAAAGGCTAGGAATGAAAACATGTCCTGCTTTAAGAGTGAGGTTCTCGAATGAGCTTCAGAATTTGGGACGACTACGCCACAGAAACCTGGTGCAACTCCGCGGATGGTGCACTGAGCAAGGTGAAATGCTTGTTGTTTATGATTACTCTCAAAGTAGTCTTTTAAGTCACCTCCTTTTCCATCAGAATCCGAGGAACAATGCCTCCATCATAAGATGGCGTCATCGGTATAACATTGTTAAATCACTTGCCTCAGCGATTCGATATCTGCATGAGGAATGGGATGAACAGGTCATACACAGATGCATAACATCATCTGCCATCATTCTTGATCCAGATATGAACCCAAGGCTTGGCTGTTTTGCTCTTGCTGAGTTCTTGACTCGGAATGAGAATGGCCATCATGTTGTTGTTGATAAAAAAACATCGGTTAGAGGTATATTCGGTTACATGTCACCAGAGCATATGGATTCTGGTGAGGCAACAACAATGGCTGATGTTTATAGCTTTGGTGTAGTGCTTCTTGAGGTGGTTAGTGGTCAGATGGCAGTAGATTTCCGCCGGCCTGAGGCTCTATTGGTGAATAGAGTACACGAATTCGAGGTCCAGAAAAGGCCATATGAACAATTGGCAGATTGGAGGTTAAATGGAAACTTTAACTCAAGGGAACTGGTGAGGCTAGTCAAATTAGGAATGGCTTGTACAAGGTCCGACCCCGAATCAAGACCGAGCATGAGGCAGATAGTGAACATTCTCGACGGACATGATAAATGTTTAATGGAAAACGGACGAAGGAAGGAGAGACCAGAAGAATGGAGAACAAGAAATGCTTCTGCTCTTTCCCTTGTAAGGAGAATTCAAGCTCTTGGTATACAATGATCACTCTCTTAAGATGTGAAATAGTTTACATGTAGATAGATATGATTAAGCTTTATATCTTATCCCTCTGTTCTTCTATTTATTCATGAATGTCTATTACATGTATCAAGTTTTGAGTTGTGTGATTATGTTGCTTCAACAGAACATTCTGTAATTTAATGTCGACGACTTTGAATGCATTGTGTACAATAGCAGAATATAACTTTAATATGAAAGCTTATTTGTAACATATGTTCAGAAATGCAACAATATCGGAACTTGAACGTGTACAGTTAACTATTGTATATGTACAGATGCTAGTCTGACCTCGCTTCACATTCTTTCCTTGCTTGTCTTTGGCCTTGAGCAATCGGTCTACCTTTCAGTTGTGTGATTCTCATCGTCTGTGTTTACACCAACCCAATCAAGAAATGCAAAAAGAAATTGCCGGAAGCTGACCTTGCCACTCCTGTCCCAGTCCATTTCTTCTGCAATTATTAACCAGATCATCATGTTAGAAGTGATGACATCAAGTTAATTTGATTTTAAACACTTTAGAAGGTGAATGACAGTACTGAATCGAATCCGAGTGACATGAGAAGGGGATTTCTCGGAAGGACAATCGTCGTTTAATGCCTTGACGACTTCTTTCTTGTGCAGTTTCCCATCACCATTTTTATCAAGAAACAAGAATGCCTCAACTATTGTATTGAATGTTGCTTCTAGCTCTGGTGTGCCAATCTTCGACATCTGAAATAAATATGATCCTATTGAATATGACTTCACATGATAAGCAAACAGCAACGGAGCCAGGAATTTGGGGTGTCAAAATTTAAAGAAGTAAATACACGAATAAGTGGGGGTTCAATACAGAGTATATATATACATAAAATAACTTTTACCTAATTTTTCGGCAAAAGGGTGTCAATTTGACACCCCTTGGAGCTATGTGGCTCCGCCACTGCAAATAAATATCTTTTAAAATACTCAAAAAAAGAATAGAGAGGAGCCCTTTTTTCACGTACATTGCGAGAGGAGGAGGATGAATCCATCAAGAGATAAACAAGGCATAGAAGAACAATGAACTCATTGAATTGAATCCCGTCCTTTTCATCCACATCACACGAGTCGAAAAGATCATCAATTTCCTCATCTTTAACATGAAATTGCAGCTTCTTTACGCATTTCTTTAGTTCTCTGCGGTCAATAGTCCCATTTGAATCTTCATCTTAGGAAATAGAACAAGATAGAAAAAGCAGAAATTCTGGTTAATAAAATGTAGTAAACACTCAAAACACAGCATATGCAGAAGGTACTAACCGCACTGTTCAAAGACGCCTTTTATCTCCTTCAACCCCTCTTTGTACTGAGGAAATTTCAAGATTATGCTATTGATTGACCTGAAGTTGGTTTGCCCTGATGAACTTCTCTTAAGCTCCATCAATTTTGTTTCAAGCTTAGCATCTATTCTTCTGTACTTCTTTGGTGCATTCCAAAAACACAGTATGTTTCCAACCTTGTTGGACAATAACTTGAGTACTGGACATGACTGAGCTGAGCCTAATACAAAGAAAGAGTTCAAGTTAATGGCGGTTGCTTTTCTATCTATTTTCTGGTTCTTGTGATGCTAGTATTATCTTTCTGGCTTCTGTTGTTGTTACTGATCTAATGTCTCTTTCCGTCTTCTTGAGACGAGGCTATCGGAAACAGCCTCTCTACGCCTCCGGAGTAGGGGTAAGGTCAACGTACACACTACCCTTCCTAGTCCCCACTCGTGGGATTTCCCTGGGTTGTTGTCGTTGTAGTTCAAGTTAATGGCGGACATGATCAAAGACCAATCAGCTTTTCGGTTTGTTCTATATCCTAAACATCGATATGTAGCTGTAAGTACAGCACAAGGCAGATTCACAACCTGTGATAGTATTTGTGACAAAAAGGGAAGTCAAGAATGTTTGATAACTGTCAAAAGCTGTATAACAAACTGATTAAGTTTTCAAGGTAAAGAACTTAAAGTCTCTCTATATTGAAGCCACCTTAGTTCACAATCACTCAACAAAATGTACGAGTCTCGGACTATCTTAAGTTCTGCATATCGTTGATTTCTGAGTCTTTTAATCGTTTTCCTCGATAAATTTTGATGCATTGATCATACGGCTATTGACTACCGCCTACTCCTAGAAACAAGATGATAGTTTTCCAAATCTTTTACCTTCCTCAAATATATCACATGTTCAACCACATATAAATTGTCTCAATCAAAGTTCCAAAAAAAAAAGGGCAGCCCGCTGCACAAAGTATCCCGTATTTACGCTGGGTCCGGAGAGGGCCGCACCAAGGGATGCAATGTCGACAACCTACTTTAATGCAAGCATTAGTGGCTACTTACACGGCTCGAAACCCATGACCTATAGATTATACGGAAACAAAATTTACCGTTGCTCCGAGGCTCCTCTTCAAGGTTCCAAATACAGAAGATTTTGCAGGCAAGTAAATTCTTATATAACATCAACTGCAAAAGCCTTAAAGTATTAACATTAGAACATAAAATTCTAAATCATATTTTCCACTTTATTCCAATTCCAGGTTTCAAAATAAGCCACATTAGCAAAATTACATGCTGAATAGTTCTTTTCTGAAACCCCTAAATACACAATCCAAGAAATTAGCATTACAAAATGAAATAATAAGTGTACCCCAAAAAGAAATTACAACAGAAGAAAAGGTGTAAAGGGATAAAGGCAAAAAATGAATTCTGACAAAAACCAAGAAACATACCTACTGAATCTTTCATGGTTTTGTTGATGGAAAAGAGCTCAACACACCATAAGGGTCTGCTCCTGATTCCTTTGACAAGGAGTAAATTTCACAAATATATATATATATATAGGTAGAGTGTTAAAAAGGGAATGCAACAGAATAGAAAAGGGGTGAAGTGGAGAGGAGGCAATGAGGAAAAGAGTACTAGAAAAGTTAAGTAGAAATCCCATTATGCTTTTTCAATAGAATGTAATAGAATGGAACTTTCTTTCCTTCTTTCTTTCTCTTCCACTAGCAGAAAATACAATCATTACTTTGACTATAAGCTTCCATTAATCTATTCCCCTCCTATACATTTTCCAGTGTAAGAGAAGGAGGGAAAGAAGGCGCGCTACAACTAACATAACAGCCAGCCGAAAAATATTAGCTATAGCTAGGCTAGCGCGCAGTGGCTTTCTCTTATAGGGGTACAACTGAAATCCGTTGTTTAGTTATTACATCAAAAATATTGCCACTGCTTCTTTTCATTTTGTATTTAGCTTTGGTTTTATCGTAAACAACCTCTCTGTCCTCTCAGGGTAGGAGTAGTGCGTACACACTACCCTCCATTGTTGTTGTTGTTGTTGTTGGTGGTATGACCATGCAGCGCAAATTCATCTAATAATTAACATCTGTAACCTCAATCAAGAATAAGTTGAATTGTTGAGTAAAACTAATTTAGACAAACTTGTTTTTCACTCTACTTCAAGATAGTCATTGTGCTTCTTTATGCATTAGTTTTCCCTCCTCTTTGTGTTGGTTAAAATATTTGGTTTTTCAATAATATAGGGAAGAAAAATAAAGAAAAAGTTCAACAAAAAAGGGATGGTCTCCAAAAAAGAAAATAGTAGAGAAGAAGGAGAGGATCACGCGTAATCTCAACTAAAAATGTTATCTACCTTTGTTTTTACACCAATTCAATGAATGCATATCATGCGACATACTGTTAGCTGATTAATGCATTACTAAGTTTCATCAACCATTTCCAGCATATCATATTCCATGATCCAAATGTCCAATTCGATACCATTTCCTTTGCCACCATATAAACTAAGGCAATCTTTTAAATATAGACAAACGAAACAACTCATTTTCACCTACAAAATCCGGTGCTAGAAGCTCCTTCAATTCGTCTATGGAGTATTTACTCCAATTTCCAGCTATATCTCCTTGGTTATGGAAGCGTTGAGATAGATGATAGACAAAGAGGAGAACGAGGACAGCTAACTACCGCTAAAAGTCAGACTAAGAGTACACATTGTATGATTGAAAACTGCCGCTGCATACTACAGGTCTGACTGGTGCTTTCTCTCAAATAAGGATATTATTGACGGAAAGAAAAACACCAAACACTGATTTTGTGTTTGTGAAAAATACATGGCTGGAATTTCCCTTATGACCAAAACAAAACAGAACGGGTCACCTCGGTACAGTAAGGGCTGTTCATGTATGGAATTGATAAAATCTATCAACTTATTCTCTTCATTTAATTTACAGCCTGAAGTTAACACCAGAGAGCCACAAATTAAACAAGACACCTACACAGTCAAACCTCTCAATAGTAGTCTCGTTTGTTCCGATATTTCTTAGCTGCTATAGTGAAGTGCTGTTATAGAGAACATATATTATTAAATAACATAATAATAGTTCCAAAGAAAACTTGGCCGTTATAGGGAAGTGTTGTTATAGAGGACGACTGTTGGAAGTTCCTTCAGTTCATCTGACTTCTCGTCAAAGTATATAATGTAGATGTTTCACCTATATATTGGTCAAGTTTCTGATTCATAGACCAATATACACAACCTTCTGTGCTAATTCCCTGACAACACAAATATGAGCTTCTAGTTTGGAAACTAGCTATAGGGAGGCTTTGCTGTAATATAGGCAGAGTTGTTTTCTTTCTCCACAAATCCCTATTCGTAGAGAAGACAACATAAAACAAGTTATATTTCAATAATATTCCAATCATTTTAGTGTAAAATTTATCCCAGAATTCGCTAATGCCAATAACTAAACATGAAATAAATACAATCCCAAATTTTACTTGGGATTATTATCTTTATCCCATATACCAACTATACATTACCAATTCCAAGCATGGATAAAGAACGAATATTGTGATAGGTAACCAAGGTAAAACTAGTCAATTTGTGATGAATCCTGTGTGTGCTTGCTCACATTGCGAATCACAAGCACAAATAAAAGAAGAGGGTTGCAAAGGTTAACAACAAATGTAAAACTAGTCAATCTGACATGAAACAACACAAAACAAAATATAGCCTCAACTTGCTTGGAACTGAGACGCAATTGTTATAATGGAAGAAAGAGACAGTAAACCTTCATTTGCAACATTGTGAAATGCCCACAACAAGCAGGAATGCACTAAAATGTATCAGAAAACAGTAGTGATTAGAGTCAAACTATGCTGTTAGTACACAAGGATCTTCATTTCTGATAAAGGTTACTTAAAAGGTGATGAAATGCAAGGTAAAACTGCATACAATAGACCCTTGTGGTCCGGCTCTTCCCCGGACCCCGCGCATAGCGGGAGCTTAGAGCACCGGATACTTAAAAGGTGATATAACTTAGATAACATACATTTGCAACATTGTTTAATCTTGGATCAAACAGATGTAGAAAGGGGGAAACATCACAGGAAATGTGGTAAAAAATACACCGATTTGTTTCCAGAGAGAATTTTTCCTGATTTTGTTCATGTATTACTCATCATCCATTCCACCTGCCTTGTATTGCTTTCGATAGGCGATCCATTCACGATAGTAAAAGCCCGCGGTCTCTTCTTTAGATCACCATTTCCATTTGATGGAAAGCAGTCATCAAGCAAACAGTCGCCAAGTCTGGCTGGCACGTGACAAGCATTTTTGTTTTCGATACTTGGAGCATTCTCATGTAACGAAGGGACATTAACGATCCCTTCACAATCGTTTGCAACCTTCATTGCTAATTCAGAAAGTTCTTCCCTGTTCACTTCTAGGCCATTCGGTTCGATGGACTGGCTACTAAAAGCTTTACAAGCTTTTTCAAGAATTGATTGCAAATATTTTCCTTGTGCTTCAATACGAAGCTGTAGACGGCGTTGTACCTACTTTGGTAAATCACAAAGATTTTTGTTAGAAAATAAAGAATGTGACACTAAGTTACTGATGTATAACAACTTGATAAGAAGCTGATGTTGCATTTTGTCCGACCTAAGAAAGCAAGTTGCACTTACGCATACGACACATGAGAAACAGCCAAAAGTCATTGACAATGATAAAACAATGACCGTTAGCAGAACTTCAACGAAGAACCTTTGATAAGACTAAAGTTGCAGTTGGTCCGAGTTGAGGAAGCAAGTTAGCCCTAGCACATACTACACTAGAAATGGCCAAAAGTCACTGACCTCAACCTGGTCTGGAAATTGCCATTAGCTACTTATCAAAGTATTCACTCATTAGAGCAACCTACTCTCCTATCGTTCACCACTCTAATCCGTTGTAGAGAAAGAAAACAAAAAAGATAGAAAAGGGAATATCAGACAAAAAACACATAATGCAAAGCTGACTATAATATGCTCATGGAAGGTGAAGCTATCAGTCTCAAGTTTTGCAAAAAAAAAAAAAAAGGCGTGCTAATATATAGGAACTGCAACATGGGAAGCTGTGACACTGAGTAGAGTAACACTATCAGTTGAGCAAGAAGAGGGGCGAGACAAACCTCTAGCTGCTCATGTAGTCTTCGCTGGACTTCCATCTGTACTCGCAAAGCCTCAGTTACTTGGAAACCGCTGTTAAATAAATTTAAGAGTTCAAAGTTGATGCAAAGCAGACAGAACCATTTTTACCAGAAAATTTCTAAAAGACATAACATACTCATTTATATCTTGCGCAATAACTCTTGATGAACCTGATGTAGAGGAACCTGTATCTGGACTCTCTGCTGGACATGACACTGCAAACACAGGACAGTAACTATAAAGGGATTGCGGTTTCAAGTTTTCCAAAGAGCTGAGAAGCACATCCATTTTAGCCTTTTTTTGCTCCGACAGACTATTCTTCTCTTTCTTTATATTATATGTACAATTCTAACATTTATATCCCTTCAAAGGTGTTATCCCATTCTTTTATTTTATCTTTTTGGCTTCTGTTGATGTTACTGATCTATTGTCCCTTTTCGTCTTCGTGAGCCAAGGGTCTATCGGAAAAAACCTGTCTAATCCTCCGAGATAGGGGTAAAGTCTGCGTACACTCTACCCTCCCCAGATCCTACTTGTGGGATTTTACAGGGTTGTTGTTGTAGTACATACTTTTATCAGTCATCTAAAATTACAAAGGATGTATCAAGAAATGGAAAACGTGCAACCTACTTGTTGTAATAGGTTGATTTTGATTAAGGAGTTAGGAAGGGGATCAAAAAAAACCAATCTAACCTATCCTTGACGGGGTAATAATAGGAAAATGGGGGCAATTCTGACCTTAAACCAATAGTGATGATTGTCGTATTTATGGGAAATGTGGAAGTTACTCAATGGGGTTGACATTTAAGTTTTACATAGATGAAGTACCTTATCAGCAGCTCTAATCTTTTCCTTGAATTTGAAGTTACACTTATATATATACTATTCAGATTTTAAAAAAACATGGGCGGATTACAAGGACAACACAACAACAACAACCCGGTATAATCTCACAAGTGAGGTCTGTGGAGGGTAGTGTGTACGCAGATATTACCCGATAGACCCTCGGCACAAGAAGATGAAATGGGATAATAGAACAGTAACAACGCAAATTACAAGGACACTGAACTAAATAAAATAAAGTAATTTGCAAGAAACTGGAGTATTTAATGAAAAGTTCTTCATTACCATCTTTAGAATTCTCAGTTGCCTCTTTGGAAGATTGCTTTCCCAGGCGGTATTTCTGCAAAGGAAATATAAAGATACAGACTTTAGCATCTGCCTGAAAACTTAAAAAAACGGCACCTTACTAGGTTTTATCCAACTCTCCGAATCAATTACTTGTGATCCCTTTATTAAAGGACCTTATTTATTCTTCTTTGGATAAAACTGAGAGCTTAATCAACTTTTACACCATCCTCATTTGGCTAACATCGAATGCAGAATGTAAAATCAAAATAATCACTAAACCGTCTAAGTTCAAGTAGGATAAGTAAAACCTAGAATCGTTTGAGTCGTCTTTCACTTGCACTAAGCTTTGAAACGACACGAGCAATAAATCAAATTGTTAAAAAAACTATACTATCGAAACTGGCATGAAGCTGGTCCTACTTGATTTTGAGAAGTCGTAAACTTGTGCGATTGGAGCATATTGTTACCCTTTAGATCGTGCTTCGATGTCCATGAAACATAGGGAAGAAGCAAAAACAGATTGCGATCAGAAAACATACCTGGAGATGTGACTTCAAATGGTATAAGGTCAGACCTTTCACCCCCATTGTTCTCATAATTGTTTTTGGTGTTGCTTCTGCAAAATGAAGCAATAATCCCATAATTAAAATTATGCACAGGAGTACATGTAAACTGTAAAGAGAGGCAATGCGCAAATGAAAATAAAAAGTATTTCTTAAGATTCGCACAAAGAAAGATTTCCTGGAAACACAACTATTAGGGGAATTTTTTTTATCACAACGGCATAATTCTACCAGTATACAAGCAGCTAATTTAAAAAAATATCATGCAATGAGATACTAATAAATGGAACATTTCTTTTATTGATCAATTTAATAGTTCCCTCATTCCAAATCTACCACGATTCTTTTATTTGACCCTTAGAGCCTTCAGACAGTTAAATTAGCATACAGTTCGAAGTCGGGATGGTTCTTCTTAATTTCTTTTTCCATAACGAGTGATGTTTCCTCAAAGGAGCAGCTCAGAA